ATTACTCCTCTGAGAGCTGAGCATTCTGAGCAGAACTGCATGTTGTTCCATCTCCCGCACAGCACAGATACTCACAGACTTCTTGACTTGTTTCCTGCCATTTCAAGATTCTGCGATTTGTCATATGCTAAACAGAGGAGGAGACAGCAAGCACATTCCATTCACCTGGGCAGTTTTATAAATAACCAGTAGATGTGGCTGTTTGGAACACTTTTTTCTTATGTATGGGGCACTGTAAGGCTGCTGACATTCCTTCTGGAAGCCCCCAGCAGTGCCTACACAGAGGGCCCTCAGGGACCATGTAGGGAGCAGATCAGAACTCAGTGGTCAGGGCTTCTCAAGTTCTCAAACCTGAAGCTGAACAGCATTATTGGAAGAAATTATACTAGGAATTTACCTAACATTTAACACAAGAGAAAAAATAGTAAATGAATATATGCCTAATAATCTTAAAAAGTACAGAGTCTATGAACAGCCAGTAAAATCTCAAGTATCATCTTATTTATAAGAATGACACAAGATGGTGGTGCACACTTGTAACTGCAGAATCCTGGAAGCTAGGCAGGATTACTGGAAGTTTAAGTCCAGCTTGGTTGACACAACAAATTCCAGATCATCCAGGGATATCTAGTGAATAGCAGAAGCAAACAAATAGGAATAGCAAATGGCCAATGAGTAAAATATTAGTAGGTGATACATCATCCCAATCAAGCACCCACAGGCATGGATGGGCTAGAGGAGTGATCTGATTCAACACCTCTTTCTGTCTCATTTCTTCCCCATAAAGGGCATAAATAAGTCATAATGAAGTTGGGAAGGTGAAAGAGGTAGACCACGAAGGGGTTTTGTAAGCCAGGTGTAGACTAGATTTGACTTTATAGCAAGTCATGAAGTTCCATGGCACAATTGCTGCAGGCTTGAGTTTTAGAAAGATTATTGTAGCTGTTGAATGGAAAATTACCTGGAGGGATGACAAAAGCAAGCCTTTCTTGTTTCTTTCCATTCATCATACAAATATATAGACATTTTTAATGAATGATTAGGGTAAGAACAATGCCTAACGAACCCTTGAGAAATAACGAAAGGAGAGCCATTTGTTTTTTATCCAGGCATTGTCTTTAGTTAGTCATTCAACTTATTGAACACATGTTTGCATGCCTACTGTATGCTTAGGATTGCTCTAGCTACGAGGGGCAACAGTCCTTGTTATCAAGGAGCTTAGGCTGTAGAATGGGAGAGACAGACAGTAAACATGGAAGTAAAATGTATAGTATGTTAGATGCTGTGGAGGGCTAAGAGAAAAAATGTTGCTGAAATGGAATATGGAAAGAGTTGCAGAAAAACTAAAAAAATTTAAAATGCTGCCCACTGAAAGCTCACAGAGGTGAATTTTCAGCAGAGAGGTGAATTTTCAGCAAAGGTGAGGTGGGGAGTTACTGGGTGTGTAGCTGTGGGAATAGTAGGAACAAAGATCTACTCCAAACAAAGATCCAGCAGAGCTGGAGTATGCAAAGAAGAGTGTAAAGGCCAGCGAGGCAGTGCTACATGAGTGAGGGCTAGGTAGCAGGAATGAACTCACAGAGACAGGGCACTGAGAGCTCACACAGGAATGGGAGCATTTTGGCTTTTCTCTAAGATGGGACCAGTTGAAGTGTGTGAGTTGAGGAGCGGCATTATCTAACATGATTTAAAGGCTGTCTCAGATTTCTATATTGAGACTTGACTTTGGGGATTAAAAGTAAGTCAGAGAGATAAGTTAAGAGGAAGTTACAGCAGGCTAGGTAAGAGATAAAGCTGTTTTGGACTGGGTGGTAGGATAGAGCAAAGGATAAATGATGGGAGCATTCTGTTCCAGGTTAGCGGGATTCTGTGTTTAAGATAGGCCTGGCAGGATGGAAAGAAAGACCTGCTGCTACCTGAGGTGGGTGGACAAGTCGAGGTAGGGAGATCAGGAATTCTGTTTGGTACATGTTAAATTTGAGATGATTATCAGACAAGATTTCTTTATGTATCCTGACCCTGGTTCCATGGAGAGGTCTGAGTTGGAGTTGTAATTTGAGAAAACTCAGCTTACAGGTGGTATTTAAAGCCAAAAAGTGATTGGATCCTAAGCAAGAGGATGTATCTAGAGAATAAATAAGTGAAAGTGGACCTAAACTAAGATCTAGACACACTCACATTGAATCCCCTTGATACTGCTTAGTACTTTTTATCAGGAGCTCCATAAAATTACTATTTCAGTTGGATTATCTGCCTAGAATCAATTCTAGCTCCAATGTAATAATTTTGTTTTCTGCTGATTCTAAATACAAACATTTATTTTAGCTACATACTTGGTTTTAAATAGAATTCGTAGGTAACCTAGGAACCTAATCCACACTGTTCAGCTATGTTTCTATGGGAACATATATTCTGAATTTCAAAAAAGTGTCTTTCCAATTAACTTGGGAATATTAACCAGTTTCAATTTGGAAAGTAACTATAATTCTGATACAGAATACTTTATTTTATTATTCATCTTCATATTTTTTTTTCAGATATCCTTCATGTTTATCATTAATTTCATAATGCAGCCAAAATAATTTTATTTTTAATGTGGTCAATTATTTATTTTTTCACTGTTAGATATTCTTCATTTTCCTTTTTGTTTTCTCCTTTGAGCTTTGCTCGCCTTTACCCCTGTGCCCAGTGATGCAGTCAAGATTTATCTAATTTTATTGATAAAATAATTTATATTTACATGATGAATACTAATTTTTATATGCTACAGAAATATGTCCACTTCCTCCTCTTATTTATTTTAAATACATGCCAGAGCAGACTCAACTGGGATGGGTTCTGGGGATGATGACTTTGTCCTTCTTGTGTCAGAGGATCCAGATGATTCAATAGTAGTTGATACCAAAGAAGATGAGCAGCCATTGAACTGATGGACTTTGATTAGAACAGCCACAAATCTATGTTTGTCATTCTTGTTTAACTTTCTGGAAGCCCTCAATGACTCCTCCCCATTTCCTCTAGTCAAACCTTTACTGCATGGTCTAAATTGTATTACTCACTAGACTGTTTGAATAAACTAATTTAATTTTGACACCCTTCTTTGCATGATTCACACACACCCTTTCTGATGATCACTGTGGCATTTTACATGAAGGGGCTGATCTTATGAAGAGAATGTCTTGGCTTTGCTCCTTCTGTTTAATCAAAATAACATTTTACCTTCATATTAGGATGAAGCTCTTTGAAAAACAATGAGTTTCAGTATTTGTATGGCATATCTTCAAGTCACATTCTTTTAGTTACACCACTCACTGGATTAATCTTTGAGTAAGATGAAATGTCATTGGCATCACTGGAGGATTTCACAACTTTTCATTTGCTTCAGTCCAACCGTTTTCCTCCTGACTGGAGTAAATGATCACTAGGCTCTGCAACCAATTCTTTGGCTCTGTTGAACTGTAAAACTTGATTTCAATTTGTATTTCTGGTTCCTGTTTTCTCTGTCATTACTCTTTCCTGGTTTTCTTAAATATTTTGAAAAGAATGCTTGAAGACATTATTCTAGTGTAATAGAAAGGATGATGACTCCTCTACTCCCATCACTGTGTATGTAACAGGGAAACCTGTTAGGCAGCTAACAACTGTCTGTAAGTCCAGTTCCAGGAGTTCTGGTGCCCACTTCTGACCTCTGCAGGCAATGCATGGCATGGGTGATTTATACGCATATAGGCAATACACTCATACACATAATAAAAATAATAAATGAAATAGTTTTTATAAAAGGGAGAAGATGAGAGGTACAAAGGAAAAATGAGGAAAACGAAGCAGGAAATAGGAAAATAAAGCCAACTTTCTATTATGACCCAACCTGGTCCCTTCTATCATCAGGACTGGTGTGAGAAGCAGATGGACTGTATTCTCTGTTGAATGCTGAGTTGAGTGGCCCTCCAGCTAGGATCTGCAGAAAACTTTCTTTTCAGGATACTAAAATTTTGTCTCATGAATGTCGATTCTTGTTTTCAAAATGGGAATGGAGCTGCTGGGGGTGCTGTTCACACTTTTCTCATTGTATTCTTTGAAAGATGCTAACTTTGCATAAGCATAGAGCATGGAAAATGGCTGCAATGAAACAGGCATATTTTATTCTATGAAAATGAAGTGGCAGGGCTGGAGAGATGACTCAGCTGTTAAGAACTGGCTGTTCTTGTAGAAGACCCAGGTTCAAAGCCCAGCACCCACATAGCAGTTAATGACTGTCCTGTCTGTAACTCCAGTTCAAAGGGATCTGATGCCCTTTTCTGACCTACTTGGGCATTGCATAACATGGGTGCACTTATATACATGCAGGCAATACACACATACACATAAAATAAAAATAATAAATAAAATATTTAAAAAATGAAATGGCATTTGAAATTCCATTACTTAAGCTATGTGAAATCTTACACAATTTTAGCAGTTCTAATGCTAGCCAGAATTACCAAATTCTACAGTCATTATTGGTAGAAGACCCGGATGCTTTCTGAGAGAGCTTAATGGACATGCCGTTAGTAGAGGTTATTTCTAAATCACTGACCTCTCCCTCCCTCCCTCTCTCTCTCTCTCTCTTTCTTTCTTTCTTCTTTCTCTTTCCTTCCTTCCTTCCTTCCTTCCTTCTTTCCCCCTTCCCTCCCTCCCTCCCTCCCTTTCTTTCTTTTAATTTTTTAAATGTTTTGGTTGTTAGCCTTAGCCTTTAATGGCTGTGCTTGTCTCTTCAGCCCTTTATTCATTTTTAATATGTATAAATATTTTGCCTGCATGTATGTAAGTGCACCAGTGTATGCAATGCCAGAAGAGGCCACAAGAGGGCACAAGATCCCTTGGAATTGAGTTATGGACAGTTGTTAGCTGCCATTTGGGTCCTGGGAACCAAGCCTCATCCTTTGCAAGAGTAGCTAGTGCTCTTAACTGCTGGGTCATCTCTTCATCCCTGACTCCATCTTTTATGTGAATCATTGTAGGTGGAAGAGCTACTACATTTTCTGTGGCTTACCTCCTGGACAATTCTCAGGTAGATGTTTTCTTTTGTTTATCAGAATCATTCAGTTAAGCGTTAAGTTACTGGCATTTTTTTTTTTTTCTGTCTGTCCGTCATCCATCTGTCTGTCCACAATCCTTCAATCTGTTCACCCATTCTTCCTTCTTTTGTATTTGTTTATTTTTTACAAAGGCTTAAGAGTTTGGTATCCCAAGTTTACTGAGCTCTGACTCTTCCTTGTTTCATTTACCTATATAACAATGATAGTTTGCCTTTTTTTTTCTTTTCCAGTATAAAGCATTACATTATAGTTCAAACTTCCTTGAGCAAGCATGGGTTCTTATTTAGTAAGAAAAAAAAAATAACCCTCTACAAGAGGATTGTTCTGTATTTTGTTTTTCTTTCTTTTTAAAATTTTATCTGTGTGAGTGAAATGCCTGTATGTGCATAAGGGCTCCAGTGTTGTGCAGTGCCCACAGAGGTCAGAAAAGCTGGGATCCACTGGAAATGGAGTTACAGACAGCTGTTAGTCACCATGTTGGTGCTGGGAATCTAACCCAGGTCCTCTGTAAGAGCAGCCAGTGCTCTTAACCACTGAGACATTTCTCCAGCCCCAATGTTTTCATTTTTTATTGGATCCATAAACTAGAAAAAACAAGTATGTTTATCTCAGAAATGTGGCTGGTTAAGTTATGTGTTCTAAGACTTTGAGAAGAAATGAGGAAACTAGAAATGGAATCATTATAGGTATGAGGAACCTATAAAAGCAACTATTATGATTGATGACCATCTTGTGTCGGACACTTGCTCTTTGACTTTTAGGGGTTTGGTCAGAGTGATACTCGATATGAAATGTGTAATTAGGAATTGACCTCGCGTCTACCTGATTCCAAAGCCAGTGGCTGCTCTTCTCTTGTGTTCTGCACTGCATGGCATCTTTATGTCTGCATTCTTTATGGAGACCATATTCTTACTTAAATCTTCATCTCTAAGGACACATGAAGATAATTCCTTTTCAGCTAAGTGAGAAATTAGATAAAAAGTGATTGGAAAATTCAGTGTGGCTTTTACTAAAGAGAAACTTTATTATCTTTCAGTATTTCTTTCCTTTCCTGAGCGTTATCTTCCTTAATTGACAGTTGAGAGCACTGAGTTAAGAATTACCCAAGCTGACAGTCATCTTTAATATTCTCTGAGATGACATCATAAATATCACATACATAGGTAAAGTAATTATGTTAATATATAGGTAAAAGTCAAGCAAGTGTACAGTTTGTAAAGGCTTAAAATTCTCTGATTCTAACTAATTCATTAACTTGTATGTTGACTATGTTAGTATGGCACACACTGATGAGGCACAAAGACAGACAAAGTAATGTACATATTTTATAGTGGAATGGTGTGGGAATTCTTAATTATAAAACAATATCATATGAGTCATTTTTAAAAAGTGACTACATGATGTTATGGAATACTTAAAAGCAATTTAAGGGGTTGGAGAGGTGCCTCAGCGGTTAAAAGCACTGGCTGCTCTTGCAGAAGACCTGGATTTCGTTCCCAGTACCCACATGATGGCTAACAACCATCTGTAACTCCAGTTCCAGGGGATCCAATTCCCTCTTCTGATCTCCATGGGCACTGCATGACATGGGTGCACTTACATACACACAGGCAGTATCCTCTGCAAGAGCAGCCAGTGCTCTTAACAGCTGAGCCATCTCTCCAGCCCCATAAAATATTTTTTAAAAAATTAATTTAAGTGGCTAAAGAGTGAAGATGTTACAAAGAGGTCACAATGAAGACAGGGTGTGGAAGACAAAGTATTTCCACTGGTGATCCCACAAGCTCTCCAGGAAAAAGTGCTGTACTTAAAGGTTCAGAGACAAATAAAACATCCCGTTTGCAGAGGGGTGAGGAGAGTGTGACTAGAGCACTGGATAAGAAGCAGACACAAAATTAACCCTAATCTTCCATGTTCTCTTGAAAAACTGTAATTCTTATCTTCTAGTTAAGTAATGAGGAAAAAGAGCATTTTATGAAAACAATGTCCTTCTTACATGTATGTTTCAGGAAAATAATGTCTGTGTGGACTATGAAATGATAGAACAGGCAAAGTAGACAGTTCATTTCCTCCTCTTCCTCCTCCTCTTCCTCCTCCTCCCCCCTTCTCCTCCTCCTCCTCCTTCTTCATCTTTCTTTCTTCTTCTTTGATTTTCATAGACCTTGAATAGCTCCTTGGGCCAAGGCACAGTACTTGTGGTGTTGGGGAATAAGTATCCTGTTCTCAATTCCTGTATTCCTTTATGTTATTTGTAGTCTGGAATATTTATTTCCCCTGGGAAGAATTACTCCTTCCTAATCTGCTTACTGAAGGTAACTGCCAGTCTGCCATCCTCCCACTTTCTTCTTTCACTTCTATATTCAGGTGTCAGGGGCTGAACTGTCATTCCATATCAGTATGTTGAGGTGCTAACTCTCAGTACATTAGAAGATAACTGGATTTTGAGAGAGTTTTTAAAGAAGTAACTAAGGTTAGATGAGTTCATTATGGCTGGCCATCATCCAATACGAATTCTGAGAAGAGGAAATCAGTATAAAGACACATATATAAAGAGACCTTGGGAGAGCACAGAAATAGGATGGTCATCTTCAAACCAAGGAATGAGGTGCTCAGAAGAAAATAACTCTGGTGACACCTTGTCATTGTATCCTCAGCCTCCAGAACTTGAAGAAATAAATTACTGTTGCTTACGCCATCCATTCTGAGGTACTGGCAAGAGAGCCCAAACAAAATAATATGTGGAGAATAAGAGAGAAGGTTGAGAGCATCCATATCGGATCTATTTCAGGCAAATAAGTATGTGTTGGTGAGAGCTGGCTAAGTATGTGCTCTCTTGAACTTGACAACATCCACTTACACTGTGCTTTGAGATAGTGCAGCTATAGGGGACTGTACATAAGGGTGAAGAATAAAGAGAAATGAAATGAAAGAAAATCTCTTGAATACTCTTGGGAGGAAGAAAAATGGAGAAAACTACACTGAGCTTATGCTACTTTTAAGTCAAACACATTCTCATTCTTGTTTACAATGTTTTTTGACTGGGCCAGAAAAATGAGGTTGAAAAACATTTCAAATATTCCCAGACTTCTATAATTGATAAAAAGAAGTATTCTGTTTTATTTAGAATGGAATATAAATTTAATACTAAGGTGACAGAAAAAACTGCCAGAGGAAAGCATTTTTGATAAGATGGATGAAAGCTTTTTCCTTATTCTTGATTAGATACGCGTGTATATTCAGAATAAAACTGTCTTTTTCTAGTGAGAATGAGCAAGAGAAATGAAGCAAAAGGAACATATACATAACACATTGCCTCTACCTACCTGTGTTCTAATTTCTTTCTGTTGCTGTGACAAAACACTGACTAAAAGTACCTTAAAGAATGAAAGGGTTTATTTGGCTTGTGCTTCCAGGTCACAGTCCATCATTGAGGGAAGTCAAGGTAGGAACTCAAACAAGAGTTAATGCTTAGCTAACTTTCTTATACAGACTAGGACCACTTGCCTAGAGATGCTTAAGGATGGTGCCATCCACAGTGGTCTGGGCACTCCAAAATCAATTAACAATCAAGACAGTCTCTTACAGACATGTCCACAAACCAATCTGATCTAGGAAATTCCTCAATTGAGGCCCCCTTTCAAAGTGGCTGTAGGCTGTATCAAGTTGATAACTGAAGTTAATAGGACAACCTAGGTCGACTAATCTTGGTCTCTTTAGGCTCTTACTAAGTTGTACCGTTCATATCACACCCCAGTTTGGTTGCAAAGTGGCATGGTCCTCCATTATCAGGTGATGGTTTTGAAAGATGGAGACCAAATGACTTAGATTAGGAGGGCAGGATTGAGATCATCCTTAGGAAGAAAAAAAACTCTCCAAGTGCACCATGACTTTGAATTTGAGCTGGATAGTTGCCATCTATCTGGTTGTGTGCTCAGGGAATTAGCTGAGAAAATCTCACTTCCTCATGAGAAGTGAGAATACTAGTATTCCATGAAAAAATGTGATTCTTGGGTATCTGTGCCATTTCCAGTGTGAGCAGGTGCTTTGAACATATTGTCAGTTTGAAGCAGGTAGGAAGAATGGACATTGTTTCTTTAAAATGTGAATGGTTGAAGAGTCTTCACTACTTGCGATGACTGATACAGCATGCATCTTATCTTGGCAGCCTTATGCTAAATGGGAGCCTGTAGGTATCATGCTCTTTTCGTCTCTACATTCAGTCAAGAGTATTGACTGTTAGTTGGCTGCCTCTCTTGTGAAGGGTTGGTGAGTGTGCTGGTGGTGGAGAGTAATATTTAAAGGTGTAGATGACAATCAGCTGGGAAAAGTGGCTTACACCTGTAATTCCAGCACGTAGGAGGCTGAAGCAAGAGGATTATCATGAGATCAAGGCCAGCCTAGGCTACATAGTGATTTCCAGGATAGTCTGGACTACTGAGAACAATAAAAACAAAAGTTAGATGGGAAATAATTATCATCTTCCAAACATGCTTACCTTTGTTGAAGGAGAGCATTTATATAAGGAAAGCTTTCTGTTTCCTTTCTTGCTGCTCTCCTTTCTCCCCCCTTCCATCTTGATACCTGTCTTTTTTCTTTCAAGATCTCAAATATTGCAAAGTAATATCTGGATTAATTGATTAGTGTTTGGATTCAATACTATGCATCTGGTTAAAATAGATTAGTTGGAATGTGCTCATTTTCTTTCCAAGCCATTTCCAATAACACTGTTTACTGTATCATAGGTTCTGACAGACCCATTATGGCAAGAGAAACTTCATATACATTGACCTCAGACAAGAGCCTGAGTTTTGTGTTTTTAGCTTACATTAGAATCATCAATGAGCCCTGTGCTTATTTCAGTCCTAGATGCCAGTTTTCATACAGGAATAGCAAGATTGCTCTTTTGATTCAGAGAACTATATAGACAAATACCTACCTTAATTGTCAGAGGATAACAAGCTCCTTCTTCTCT